TCATTACTTTCCAATCTCTGGAATACCAAGGAGGAAAAAAAATGAGTATATTATTTGGGTAAGGAAAATTGAGAGTAATCACATAGCACATAAGACTGAACTATCAGTGGTGGTGACTGTGTTGAATAATTAGCTGTGACAGTTAATAAGGTAGAGCCAAGAGTTTTCAGCCATTTTTTCTTAGTGCAACAAAATCACTTTCTTGTTAATGTTTCCTCTTTCAACCCACACATATTAGAGTCTGTTTTGCAGTAAGTATCTGCTATCTTGATATAAACAAATTGATCATGTTGAATTTAACATCAGATAATTTTGGATATAACTATTGGTATGTTTAATTCCAAGCATTTGGTCTTAGGTAGCAGTCTATAGCTTAGCATGTTGTTCTAGAAATCACACATAACCTTCTGTGATCTTGTGCACTGCACACTCCTCAACTTTCCACTTCATCACACTAGAGAAACAATCATTTAAAATCTGGTTTTTGCCTCCTGCAGAATTCTGAAGTTTTTAGTTTAGTGAGGCTGTTAAAGGTTCCTCCCTAAACAACAAACCCCAGAATTCTGCCAGAGGCAGAAACCAGATTTTAAGTGGATTTTTTCTCTAATGTGATGAGGCAATGTGTCTTTTTCTGAGCCAGCTGAAGTGTTATTTGGTAGATGTTTTAGCATGCAGCATGCAGAATGTGTGAGAGACTGCTCGTGGCTCCTGGACCACCACCTCCTACCAATGGTCTAGGTAACCAAGAAGGCAGGCCTCCCAGGCTGAAAATCCTGCTGCCCAATGCCAGGTCATTGAATGGTAAGACAACTGCCACCCAAGGGTTTTTAATCTAATTTAATCTTGGATGAGCATGCTGACCTGGCTTGCATTACAGAGATCTGGTTGGACAAAGTGGGGGGAGCAAATTTCTCTCAACTCTGTCCACCAGGTTTCAGTGTGCAGCAGCAGACCAGACCTGGGGGTGGAGAGGAGGAGTCGCAGTGGTCTATAGAGATTCCATCTACTGGACCAGGTGACCCATCCCACAGTCAACTACTGTCAAGAGTGTCTATTTAAGAGTGAGCGGCCGGGACAGAACAGGGATTCTGTTGGTGTACCATCCACCCTGCAGCTCAACAGTCTCCCTGCCTGAGCTAACCAGGGTGGTCTCGAGCCTAGTGTTGGAGTCCCAACGGCTAGTCGTGCTGGGGGATTTCAATAATCATGCTGAGACCTCCCTGTCAGGAGTGGCTCAGGACTTCATGGCCACCATGACAACCATGGGTCTGTCCCAAATGATATCAGGCTCCACTCATAGTGCTGGGGACACATTAGATCTGGTATTCTGTTTGGGACAGGATGATGGTGACGGTATTGTGGAGGAACTTTCCACTGTTCTTTTATCATGGACCAATCACTACTTGGTCAGATTTAGACTCACTGGGGATCTAAACTTCTGCAGGGATGGAGGACCAATTAGGAAGGTCCATCCCAGGAGCCTTATGGATCCAGATGGATTCCTGATGGCTCTTGGGGAAATTCCTGATTCTCCATGAGGTGATTCTGTCAAAGCTCTGACAGACCTCTGGAATACAGAGGTGGCCAGAGCAGTTGACACAATTGTTCCCCAGCGTTTTCTTTCACAAAACAGATCCAAGTCAGCTCTCTGGTTCTCCAGGGAGCTGGCAACGATGAAGCAAGTGAAAAAGAAACTAGATCAGTGTTGGCATAAAACTTGCAGCAAATCCCACCGAGCACAGTCTAGAGCTCATTTAAAAGCCTATTCCGTGTCAATGAAGGCGGCAGAAAAAGCCTTTATAGCCGCCAACATTGCATCTGCAAAGAACTACACGAGAGAGCTGTTTTGAGTGGTCAGGGGGTTTTTAAACCTCAATCAGCTGGGGACCCCTGACCAATTGACAGCTCATTGTGAAGAGTTTGCAAGGTTCTTTGCAGATAAAGTCACTCAGATCCATTCTGACTTAGACGTCAGTATCGATGTAGTCTCCATCGATGTGGCTGAGGCATCTGCTTGTCATTGTTTATTGGATCATTTTCAACTTGTGCAGCCCGAGGATGTGGACAAGATCTTGGGAGAAATGAAGCTGACCACCTGTCCTCTAGATCCTTGCCCATCTTGCCTCATAAAATCTGCCGGGGGGGGGGGGACTAGCAGGGTGAGTGAAAGTGCTTGTGAATGCCTCCTTGACTCAAGGCGTAATGCCAAGTATTTTCAAGGAGGCAGTAGTACGTATGACCTCTTTTAAAGAAATGGGCACTGAATCCCACCCAACTTAACAACTATAGGCCAGTGTCAAACCTCCCTTTTATGGGTAAGGTTCTGGAGAAGGCAGTGGCCTTACAACTTCAAAGGTTCTTGGAAGACATTGATTTTCTGGTTACATCTCAGTCTGGTTTTAGGACTGGCCATGGGAGAACTAGACAGGGGGAGTGTGTCTGTGCTAGTTCTCCTGGACCTCTCAGCGGCTTTCAATATCATTGACCATGGTATCCTTCTGGGCTGTCTTACAGTGGCTCCAGTTATTCCTGGAGGGTCAGTCCCAGAAGGTGGCTTTTGACTCCCTGGCTGGTGGCCTGTGGGGTCCCTCAGGGCTTAATTCTGTCCCCTATGCTGTTCAACAACTACATGACACAGCTGGGACAGATCATCCGGAGATTTGGAGTGTGGTGACAAATGTATGCAGACAATGCTCAACTCTATTACTCCTTTCCACCTAATACCAAGGATGCTGTCCTGCCCCTAAAGCATTGCCTGTCAGCTGTGATGGACTGGATGAGGACTAATAAGTTGAAATTAAATCCAGACAAAACAGAGGTACTCCTGGTCAGTCGGAAGGTGGACCAAGGTATGAGTTTACAGCCTATGTTGGATGGGGTCACACTCCCCCTGAAGACACAGGTTCACAGTCTGGGAATGCTCTTGGATTCATCGCTGACCCTGGAACCCCAGGTGTCAGCAGTAGCCAGGAGTGCCTTTGCACAATTAAAACTATTGTCACAGTTGCACCCATGCCTCAAGACGCCAGATATGGCCATGGTAGTCCACGCCTTAGTAACATCCTGCATGGACCATGGTCACCCCCATCTCTGTAACTCCCTCCCTAAAGAAATAAAGCTGCCCCCTCCCTCCTCTCCTTTAAAAAACAACTGAAGACCTACTTCTGCTCACTAGTATATGGAGAGGAGGAGGAATAGATGGTTGAGAGATCACTGCCGGCTCTCTGGTTGAGAACTTTTTGTATTTTGGCTTTCCTGGTCCATGTTAGCCAAATGACCTCATTTGACCACATAACCAACCCATATCATTTTGTGAATCCTTGCTGACAGTTGTACACTAATGTGGATGCTTTGTTTAGATTTATGTTATTATAGAATTTTGTCTGATTGTGTGTAATTTAATTTATTGGTGTCAGGTTTAATTTACTGATGTTAGGTCTTGATTTTATGTTTGGCTTTAATGTTACTTTTATATGTGAGGGTTTTCTGGGATTTTATGTCAGTATCATGCATTTTAAGTAGGCATTGAATGTTTGCCATTGTTATGCTGGAATCTGTCCTGAGTCTCCTCGGGGAGATAGGGTGGAATACAAATAAAGCTTGTTGTTGTTGTTGTTGTTGTTGTTGTTGTTGTTGTTCTTCTTCTTCTTCTTCTTCTTCTTCTTCTTCTTCTTCTTCTTCTTCTTCTTCTTCTTCTTCTTCTTGTGCTGATGAAAATTAACAATCATGCTGAGGTCATTTTGTAAGGAGTAATTCAAGATCTCATCATCATCATAGGATTGTCCTGTTATATCTGTTGCCACCTAGAAACAGCTCATACTCAAGTGTAACCTAGTTTTCTTTGCTGAGTTTTCTTTGTGTAGCTTAGTTTAATTATAGCAAATCTGTAAAACAGATTTGGCCTAAGGTGCCTCTGCATCCTTTTGTGCAACCCGATGAGTTCACTACAGAGGTTTCCTAAAACTCAGTTTCTGGGGATACATACTGTAATTTTTGGGTTCTATGTCTGGACGTCCTCAGAACCATGGGTCTTGGGGTGTCTTTACTGGTTCTTCTATTTCAAAAACAAAATAAATTAGTGATTTCCAGTCTAAAGACCTTTGGCCTCAGGACTTATGAAAGTAGTAATTAATGTTTAATTAATTATTTAATATTTTGTCTTCTTCTCAATATGGGAGACAGGTTAGACCCTATATTGCCATGAGAATGAGTTTACTTAACTTCTTAGGGGGTCACAGGCAGTCAGCATGGGCAAGTGAGTGATAGGAGACCAAAATCCATTTTACTAGAGATCTTTACAAGATGCTGGACTGTTCCAGGATTTGACATTTTGCTCCCAGAGACAAATGAGTACCTGACCCCATTCCCATATATCCGCACATTCCAGGTACAGAAGATGATTAGCTCACAATATCTTTGAGTGCATTGAAAGAACACTGGGTTACCTAAGAGGGCACAGAGCAAGCTCTGTGAAGCAAGCGTGGTAGTTTCATTCAGTCGCTGCACTTTACCTAATGGTAGGGCTTCCCAGTACTATCTTCATCAATACAAACATGGTTAATACCTGACATGAATTGAAGTTAAGTCATAATATGAAAAATGTTCCTTATATCTATTGGCTTATAATATGTTTCTGTCTGTGTGTGTCTGTGTAAGCAAGCAACTAAAAGAGGGAAAATCCACAATGTTTGGCCAATTGCAATAATTTTTAGCTCCTTTAAACTTTGCATTCTCATGTTCTTACCCTTCTTTCAAAGAAATCCTACTTGAATTTCTTATTCAGTTGAGGATTCTCTTCAGGTTGGAAGACACTGAGGCTTAGAAACTGAGAAGTGTGCCTACATATGAAAGGACAGGGTCAGTTTTAAGGAAGGGGTTAAGATTACTTCCCCCCTTTTCCCACAACTAATACATTTCAAATGCATGCTCTGCATGTGTCTTTTTGAAGGAGGGTGGTAGAAGGGGAATCCTTAGTACCTATTGGCTAGGCTCTATCAGCTGCAGTTTAGCTCAAGCTGCTGCTAAAGAGCTGTATTGATCTGAAGGGTAAATGTGTAGAGAGAGCCAGAGAGCTAGAGAGAAAGAGAGAGATCCAGATCCAATCATTTCTTAGAAGAGAGACAATCTCTCTGCCAGAAAGAAAGTGCTTTCAACCCATCTGTGTTCCTTGTCACATCTTTGGTGAATGAAAAAGAGGACGCCTGTGAAAGCTGTTCGTTGCTACGGTGGGGTACAGACAAGGTTTCCCTTAGCCGAAGCTGCTGTTGCATCTTGCGGCCGCTGCTGCTTCTCTTACTGCTGCAGTTGCATATAGCAGGTAAGCTTGCCTTTTAAAGAAAACAAAATGCTGATGATTGAATGCATTTGGCTGGTGTCCGCAGCATCCTCCGACCCTGGAGCCAGTGAAGGGGGGAGGGGGTGAGTGTTTCCAGGATTTGCAAATGCTGCATCCTTAGATTGGTTGGGAAGGTGATTGCAATCTGGAGGAAAGGGAATAAGACTGTTTGTTGTCAGCTGTCCCACACATGGTGAAAGGGAAAACTTGAACAAGTTTTCCCCCAACAGTAGACAAGTCTCTGGGATGCTTGCTTAAAGTGTTGGTATGAAGAGAAGAAAGGGGATTGCAATGTCGGAAACAGCTCCTTTGCCAAAGTGTGTGGGGGGCAAATAGCAGATAATCCCCCTCTTCTATGGCTCCAAAAGGCACAGGTCATGCTTATTGATTGCTTGGTGTTTGATGTATTATACATAAGGACAAGAAATTGTCACCCTGTGTTGCTATCACTGGATTTTTTGTTTTCTAAAAGTTCATTCATCATCATAGCTAAACTATAATACAGAACTTGAGTTTAAGTAAATGTATGACCAATTTTAAGATTTTTTAACAAGGTAGCAAATGGTTAGAACGCAGAAAAAAACAGATCTTTTAAAGGGTGGAAAGAGGATTATTTCTTTGTATTCAAAATAAATCTACCCTAGGCAACTTTTCTCCGTAATGCCTGTACCTGTTGTTTTGCTGACTGTTAAACATATTATATTTCTGAGCAAAGACCTAACTCAGATGAAGCAAATAATGTGATTCAGTGCAAGCTCCGTGGTGATAACCAAAACGGGAATAATTCTTGAATAAGCACTTGCATGGACAATTTATCAGGGAATTGTTAGCTTTCCTGGAAGCTTTGTATTTTGGATGTATAAGTGGGATAGGAGAGAAGCCACATCATTTGTTTCTATTTTTAGATGCATAACCCCCCCCCCCCCAATTAGATATCTGATTTACAGTTCTGTGACTTTAATAGCTTTGTATTCAGATTTTAATTTTTTTAAATGCCTGTTCCCAGGTAATGTGTTTTCCCACAGTGAAAAATTAGGTGACCAAAGGATTTTTTTTTGTTTCTAGGTTCTGCAATTATGTTGGGATCCTGCTTGTTTATTTTCCCCATGCATTCTAAAACATATCCACAGGGTGGTTATGAGGGAAATAGCTATGGCTGTAAATATTGCATGTAACCCCCTATTCCCTCAAAAGTGATTGGGATTTGTTTGCATGTACCATTTTCCATTTCCAATTTAACCAACAGAAGCATAACAATTTAAACATGCCAAGCAGGTGTTAATGGCAAGCAAAGCACTTTTCAGTATATGCTTCACTGGCTGTAACACAAAATATTATTAAGGGTAAGCATTATCCATGGAAGAAATGTGTTAATGCAGTCATATAATTCATATACTAGTCAGGAGGTATTTTATAAAATCCCCCATTAAGACCTGATTAGATGTGTCAGTCACTGTCAAAAGGTTGTTTTTTTTTCCTGAGTTTTACAAATAAGTCTCCAGAAAGGGGAGCCAGATGGTTATACCACCAAAGTCATAAGCAGTTAATTGCAGAGCTGATTCATAGCCCTCTGGAACATATCAACACCTCAACGGTGAAGCTTACATCTTTTCTGATCAAACTAGTTGCTTTGTGCTCACCTGTGCCAAGATCAAAGAGTCTTTTTGAGGGGAAATGATACAGTAATATAGTCACTCTGTTCTCTGTAGTAAGACAAATCATGGTTTAATATGGAAAACTACACCAGAGAATAATTTGTTTTGTGTCTCTCCCCACAATTATGAATTGCATGACACATTTTTGGTCATCATTGTTCAGCATTAACATTCATTTGTCATAGTTTCTGCCAAGCTTGTGGCACCCCCTTTCTGTTTAGTTGGACTGGAAGGCAGCTAGTAGCTATAAGCTCTCCCAAAGCTTATGTCCTATTCACCATGGCAGAAGGAAGTTTCACCCCACCAGAATCTGAACGTCCTCTTAGCTTATTCACTCTCGCTGTCACTCAGATAACTGTATGCGGTAATTCATAATGCCCACTTGTTATGTGTATCTGCATGAAACATGAGTGACTGGTGCCAGCTTAGTCAGATTTGTTGCCTGCATCATAAACAGAACTGCCATTCCCTTGCCAGCAAAAAAGCAAAGATCCTCATAGCAATCAACAGCTCAGCATAAGGGATCTCCCTCTTTTTTTCTTTTTTTTTGTTAAATTCCAAGAGCTGTGCAATATTATGTTTTATGTGATTATCTGTTATCTGGCATGGACTGTTACTCACCCCAACAGTCCTAAATAGCAAATGCATAGAAGCAAATCTGACCATTTCAGTAGAATTCACTTGCAACTAGCAAATCCATATCACATTACTTCATAGGAAGAGAAGTCTTGGAAGATCTGTGTCTTTCATAGTAAATCTTAACAGCATAGGAAAAGTGAAATCTCATAGGAAGATCCATTTAGTCCAACTCCATCTCCTCTGCACAGCAGTGATGCATTACTGGCAGATGAAACCACACTGTGGAACGAGTAATGTGATTGCTGTCACTTTTGTGATTGCATAGTTGCTCCTACACCAACTCTTCAGTTATAACATATAAGACTCCCTGGGGCCTAATTGTCATGTTAGCATTCTGGAATAGTTGCCATGCAAGAATTTAATCACCTTGGGTAGGTTCTATTGTCAAAGGAGCAATGATACCAATATCACTTCTCAGAAATATAACTGATGTGGAATGCAATATAAATTGGTTAATCAGGAGGACATCTGCTGGATATCCCAGCATTTATACTGTTCCTTTAGGAAGAACTGGTAGTCAGCACACTGTTCCAAAGCATTTGATTGAATGTGAATGGTTGGTTGCTAAATAATAGTTATAAATGAAATTATTGTTCTTATAATTAATTCCGTGTGTGTGTGTGTGCTTAAATATTTGCATATTTTATCTGTAAAGCACCTAGGATGCAACTCAAGGTGATATTTGCTACAAAGTCAACCCATCTCCTCTGATCTGCTAAAAAAAAAAACAGTGCTGGAGAGATTTCCAGCCCTCCAAACTATAATGATGGTGAAAATACCACATATGTATATAGGCCTCTGAGTGTCTGCATTTTCTACTTCCCTCAGGATGAATCAGATTCTTTCAGCTGCCTTCCTCCTTCCCTCCCAACACCTGGTAGTTAGTAAAAAGAAAGGATTATGGCATAGGTTGCCTAAAGTGATCATAGATAATCATGACAATATTGTCTTTCATCATATAAAAGTGCAAAGACACTCAAGAAAAGGTCCGAACCATTTTGAGGTCAATTATAGATGTTGAGGGATGAGGATCTTATAGTGTAGTGGTTCTCAACCTGTGAGTCCCCAGGTGTTTTGGCCTACAACTCCCAGGAATCCCAGCCAGTTTACCAGCTGTTAGGATTTCTGGGAGTTGAAGACCAAAACATCTGGGGACTCACAGGTTAAGAACAACTGTTATAATGGGTGGTTTCCATATATATATATATATATATATATATATATATATATATATATATATATCTCCCCCCAGATGCCACATCTCCATGCACATGACACTGATGTAGAAATTTTAGCATTATCCAATACATTCCTATGTGATCTGATTATTTAAATGCTATTGTGTAGAATGCGATCAAAAGGTTCCCCTACTACAATTGTATAAATATGGTCGGTTTCTGAAACTCTACATTCTGAAATCTATTCTACCTCTAATCAAGACCAACCACTAAAAACTAGTGGCTAACCTGAACAAGGTATTGGACCTACTTATCTGGAATTTTGCTTGATTTCAACTGGATTTAGTTTCAAGTCAGCTTGCTCACAGCAGATCACTGCTGCAGTTTGCCAATCATTTCACAATTTTATCCTGTTAAGCTTTGCATAGTAAATTCCTGTAAGCTGCTTTGTTGTTAATTCCACTTTCCAGATAAAAGAACAGAGGCTGTTCCCGGAGTCCCCAAGAAATGTCATAGCTGATTGAAGACTGAATCCAATTTCTTGTAGTAGAAATTTAAGGATCATTTTGTCATCATTTATACTTTAAAATGGTCTGCCTAATGCAACATGAAATTCCTAGTTTGAGGATAGAAAATCTCTCCCAGTAGTCTTCCAAATGCTGTTAAGTTACAACTCCCATTATCCTGACAATTGGCCTTCCTATCTGGACTGATGGGCATAGGAATCCAGCATCACAAGTTCTCTTCTTCTGTATTCCTGTAACTTCATTTCTTTTCAGAAATGTTATTCTTTCCTATAATTGAGCTCCCACAAGATCTTTCACCTTTCTTTTCTTTTTTTACTTTTCACAGTCTAAGGTGTTGTTTACATTAACCAAGAAATCTGGGTCTCTAATCAAATGTAAGGTTGGCAGTCTTCATGGTGCACAGTTCCTTCCAATTGGTATCCCAGGGTTTGGTTGTTTAAACCAGCTTCTCCCACTTCAGTCTAAGTTGGTGGAAGGATACTTGGAAGTTTTCTGGAAACTCCAGAACATCCCAATGCTTTGGGTAAAATGGACACTTGGGTGGTGTCCAATTTGACCCAATCAGCTGTTGGGAACTAATAAATCTCACTGACTGATCTCATGACCATGCCGAAAAGGCCCCCTTTCTTCTTCCTGATTGCTTAGGCACCTCATGATATCATTGACATAGACACTGGTGAACCCAGGCAATCTCCCATTTTTCTTCCTAGTTATGTAGGTGCTAGGAGTAGTGATGGCATGTAAGGGGTGAGACACAGCTGTCCTCTCCAGCCATGTAAGCCAGATACATGGATTTGGGTCCATGGTTGCCCTGGGACACATTTACACTGGGATATGCTCTATATGTCACCCTAAGTGTACTCATTTTAAGGTGGAATGAGCAAACACATTGATGTAATGCAGCAAGTGATGTATACATTCCTTTTTGTTTATTCATAATAAGTAAGATATATTTGCGATATACCTATTAGGAAGCTTCTTCT